CAATTAACAGGCCTTTGTTCTATCTGGCCAGGGCAGGACCTCATGCGGGTTGGAGAATTCCCCCAGCAGAGGCAGGGAGAGACCCTAAGACCTCGGACCCCAGCCAGCCCTGGAAGACCCTAGCTAGGATCTGACAGCCTTGTAATTCCCTCCCTCTCTGCACTTCAGTGTTTGTTTTGTTTTCCTCTAGTTTCCTAGTGAAGGTTTCTTTTGAAAAGCTTCAACCTTGTCTCCCTGAGTGAAAGGGAGGGAGGGGTGCTTCCAGCCCTGGGTGTTGGGAGGACGTTGGCAGGGTGTGGCTGAGGGCCTGGAGCTGCACTTCTGGGGGAAGACTCAGAAACAGCTGCGGGCTGCTGGCCGCTCCCTCTCAACAGCTGCCTATGGCCCTCAGTCATTTGGACTCGTGAAGAATGAGATGAAAGTGCAGGGTAGCCTTTCTCCAACATTAATGTGCACACAAATCACCTGGGATCTTGTTAATGGACAGATTTCGATTCTGCAGGTCTGTGGTTGGGGGTGAGGCCAAAATTCTATATTTCTGTTTTTGTGTTTTGAGGTAGGGTCTCACTCTGTCACCCAGGCTGGAGTGTGGTGGCATACTCACAGCTCACTGCAGCCTCCAACTCCCAGGCTCAAGGATCCTCCTGCCTCAATCTCCTGAGTAGTTGGGACTACAGGCACAGGCCACTACACCCAGCTAATTTTTTAATTTTTTGTAGAGATGGGTCTCACTGTGTTGCCCAGACTGGTCTCAAGCTCTTGGGCTCAAGGGATCCTCCTGCCTCGGCCTCCTAAAGTTCTGGAATTCCAGGTAGGAGCCATTGTGCCTGGCCAAGATTCTGCATCTCTAATCAGCTCCCAGGTGAGGCTAAGTGTACCACTTAGCTAAGAGTTCAATCCCTTCACTTCACAGAGAGCAGAGGGGACCACAGTTCAAGCCGCTTGCTGCCTCCTAGGGCGAGGGCTCTCCCTGCCTTGACCTCACCGTCTTCTGTGTGCCTGGTCCATCCTCCTGGATGGGATACTTTATCGTCCCGACCAGCCTGTGAGCTTCCAGAAGGCATGGACTATGTCTAATCATCTTTGGCAGTGGCACAGGACCTGACACTTATAAACATTCAGGAACGAACAAGTAGGTAAGTCTCAGAAACGCTACCCAGATTCCCCAGATGAATCTTGGCTGGAGAAGCCCCAGACCCAAACCCCAGAGCAAAGCATAGGGGGACATTTGGGACCATTCCAGAGCCTCAGTGTCTGTCACTTCCGAGTTCTGATCTTGCATTCCCCAAGGAAGAGGCCCCAGGAGGCTGGGAAGGTGGTTGCAGTGGAAGGGGTCCCCAAGCATGAGGCAGGAGGAGGGATGGTATTGCCCATTCAGTCCAGAGGCGGAAAAGCCCGATGGAGAAGCCGTCAGCACAGGTGGGTCAGTCTTGGCTCTGGCCCCAGCATCCCATGCAATTCTGAGCAAGACCCTTTACCTTCCTGTTCTGTTCTGTTCCTCTGGACAGTCAACGGGCTATTCCTGGGTATCAGAGACCTTAGCAGCTGGTGTCTCCTAGGCCCTTGAAGTTCCATGTAGGGGAATGTGTGAGATTTGGTGGTAAAGTGTGGCCCTCATGGCCCCAAACATTTTAGGTGACCCTGAGCATGGGTTTTGCATCTCTGAGCCCTCATGTCCACCTCTGGAGAACGGGAATGATAACTTGTGAGGACATTGTGAGAATTCTATGAGGGGAGGGAGAGAACTAGGACACCGCATGACACCCTCTTACTTCTGATCAATCCCCTTCCCTTGGTAGCACACCACAGTCTGAACACCACCCACTTTGTTCTGCCTGGTGCCAAAGTCTCGCCCATCTGCCCCCATCCATGCCAGCGCCCTTGTCTGAAGGGCGACCCTCCTCCACCTTCCTGCCCCCTCTTCCCTGCTCCTGCCCTTTGCTGAGCTGAGTCGCATTCAGCTGGTGCTTGGGAGAGTGACGGCCCCAGCCCTCCCAGCCTGTCTTCCCACATCAGCACACTCTGGAGAGCTAGTCAAGAGCAGATTCTTTATTCATTTCTCTTTTTTCTTTAAAAAAAAAAAAGTATTCCTTCGGTATAAAAAATAAATATTTTAAATATGACATTGAATAAATAAAAATAATCTGTCAGTATGAAACATCCCCATAGGGTACATTCATCAAAGAGGAATTTGTCATCCAAGGCCAAGTCCTTTCCAGTGGAAAGGAAGGAGGGAAACCTCTAAGGCCACATGGTGGGCCACTGAGCTACCACATGGGTGGGAGATAAAGCCAGGTGCCAGGATTGGTTGGGAACGGGAGATGATTCTCAGGTGGGAACGTCTGTACCGGCTGAAGGGAAATTGCTACCTCGCTGGGTTCCGGGGATCCAGCCCCACATACCACGTCTACTCTGGGAAAGCCAGCAAACTGGGGCTGGACTGCTTGGGTCAGGGTGAAAGTCCCCACAACTGGGGACAAGGAAAAGTCAAGGAGGACGAGGAGAGACAAGTAAACTAGCAGTGCTTTTTTTGTTTAAATTGTTAAATAATAAATAAGGGCCCTAATACTTTTCTCTCTTGATAAACTGCAGAATGACTGCCCCTCCCTCCCACTCTGGCCCAGACCCAGGTGTGGTCAACGCCAGCAGATAAGGAAGGAAGACACAGGCATCTGCCCTGCAAAGCTGTTGTGCAGGAAGGCTCTAGTACAGTGATGCTGTGGGTGCTGACCTACTGGACTGATCTAGAAAGAGCACAGAGGACGGGTGCCGAGGGGCAGAGTCCAGGCTGGGCAGGAGAGCATCGCCCAGTGGTCATGTGGGCAGTGAGGAGAGAATGCTCTCAGTTCCTGAGCCCAAAGAGGCTGCCAGGTAGGCCCAGCTCAGAGCATCCGAGTCCACAGGGAGATGAGGTGATGGGTAAGCTGGCCACAGGCCATGGAATCAGCAATTCTGGTTTTCAGACAGGTTTGTCCTTCTTGAAGCCCAGCTTGAGGGAGTGCAGCCAGCCCCAAGCCAAGCCCAATGGGATGGGAGGCAGCCCCTGCAATCCTGAGCAAGGGTGAGTGTGACCCACATTTCAACAGCCATACCGGGATGGACAACTCCTAGCCCTGCCCCCACTCAGGCCGCAGGACCTGCCCACCCGCCATCCAGGTAAAGTGCTTAGAGAATGACAGAGAAAGGTGCAAAGTGAGTGTAAAGTACCATAATTAGTACCATAATCTTGTCAGCTGAACTGCGAGGACCGCTGCTCTGGGTTTGAGAAGAAGCCAGAACACTGCTCTAAGCAGCTGCCCCAGCTCTCCCTCCCCTGCTCTCAGACTGGAGGGCGTTTCTCCACTTGCCTGGCCCCAGCACAAAGGAGGAGATCTGGTTCCCTGCCTGGGAGCCCAGACATGGGTGGGATTGGGAGGGAGGTGAGGCAGGAGGGCCCGCAGTTTCCTGGTCTGAGTCCCAGGCCTCTCTCCCCTCCTCTCTGGAGCAGGGGGCAGCTGATTCCCCCAGACTGCCCCAACGGGGTCTTGTCCAGCCAGGCCCTCATGCCCTCTGTGGGAACACGCTGGGTGCTGGGTCAGGAATGTTTCAGGGCCTCTCAGCTGCTAGTTCAGAGGCAGCACAGGAAACAAGGAAACAGTGACAGGCCCCTGGGGCTGCTTTGCCCACTGCTTGGGGAACACCATTTCAACCACGAAGGGTGCCCCTCACAGCACAATGCCAGGGTGTGCCCCAGAACACAGTGTGAACAGCTAGCTCCCAGGCACCAAGAACAAAAGGCACCTGGTCACTCCACAAACTGGCCCAGCCCCTGAAGCCTGGATCCTGACACCTCAAAGCGAGCTCCCCACCCCCACCCAGGCCTCAGATCCTGACCCTTCACTCTGAGCTTCACTTGTAAGGCTTACTCCACTTGTAGCATTGTCAACTTCCAGACCAGACCCTGCCAAGCCCTGGCCCTGGCTTCTTGGAAAGGGCCATCATAATATTTTTGTTGAATAAGGAGCAGGGAAAGGGGACTTAACTTTGCCATTTAAAGCACCAATAAGTTAATATAAATAGGACATCATAATAAATAGAAATCATGCCGGGTCAGACACAGCACTCCTGGATCTAAGGCTGCCCTGAGACCCTGACCTCAAGTTCTGCTGTCTCCTTGCGCTGGGGACCAGCAAAGGCCTCTGGTCCCCCTCAAGTAGTGACCTCACATGGCCTCCGTGGGCCTCAGATGTGAACTGCTACACTGAGCTTTCCCGCTCCTCCTTTCAGACCCTCGCCTAGCGGAAGATTCTGGATCCTTTAGAACTGCCTCACCTGAATTCCCGACCTGCCCCTGCCTTGCCCACCTCCACAAAGCCTACCTGTGGGTCCAGACACCAGACCCTGGCCGCTCTAGGCTGCAGGAAAGACTGTAGGAAAGAAGAAGAGCCCGCCAAGGGTTTCAGGGCCACTCCACTTTCCAGCATCTTCCTCTTCAGACCCAAAGGTGACTTCTCTGCCTCTCGGAGCCTGAACGCCAGCGACCTCCTCCTGGAGCCTTCTACCTGATGGTCCTTAGGCCTGCATGCTCTTATCTTGCTCAAGAGAAGACAGCATCCTACCCCAGACCCCTCTCTTTATCTTCCACTTGCTAAACCTCTAAGGGACAAGGAGTTCCTTGGGAACTCAGCCCCTCTGACCCACCCGAGTCCAACCAAGCTCTCCAAAGTCTACTTAAGGGGGGCAGCAAAGGCACAGATGGTGATCTTTTGCTGGGGGCCGGGCAACTCCCCTGAGCCCTGCTGTCTCGCCCTGTGGTCAGGGCTGCTGGAGACAATGTGTGCAGTTTGCTCACAGCGCAAAGTGAGCACGGGGCTAGGGGACAAGTGGGGGCAGAAGTCCAGCCTGTGCTCCCCTTGCTAGTCCGACACCCCTGTCGCAATCTCCCAGAGGAAGGGTGCCTTCTCATTGGGCTGGCTACAGACCCCGCCTATGGAAGGTTCAGCTCTCCTCGGCCTCATCACAGCCCATTCTGGAGTGCAGTGACTGGCCAGGAGCCCCTCAGGGTCTGCCAGCAGCTCCCATTGGGTTGAGTGATGCCCCAGGTCCCAAATACCCTTTGAGAGCCCCCCGACATGTGGATCCACTCCTGAGATCCCTCGGTTCATGGCACGCTTCAGGACGTCCTGCCTAGAAGGCCTGGGCTACCACGACGATGACCTGCTTATACTTCGCCAGAAGCTGACAGCCCAGCTTCTTCTTCTGGAAGACCTCCTTGCCCGATGTGTCGGGGCCGTAGGTCACGTTCACATGGCCCACATGGTACTTGCTGCACAGGCGGCACAGCACGTTGCTGAGGAGGCCCCGCAGGATGTCCACGGTGGCGTTAAGCTTGCTGTGGAGGCCGAGGGCGCTGGGGTTGAGGACCTTCTGGTCCCTGGTGATGTTGCCCAGGGAGGCACCAAGGTACGCGGCGATGCGGTACAGCTCCACCAGCTTGGCCTTCTCCGTGCCATTGGTGTGGAAGGGCGGGAAGTCCGTCACGTTGGGGCCACACAGCTTGTCCAGGTTGTTGGGAAACGGCTCCCCCTGGGCTGTGTACTGAGGAGCAGAGCGGCAGAGGGGAGGTGATGTGAGAGTCAGGGGTCCGTGTTCCGGCCCTGCCACCAGCCCTCTGGGCAAGGTCTTGGGCCTCAGTTTCCCTACCTATGGAGACCCAACTCCTTCCCTGTAGGCATCTAGAATTGCCACGAGAGCCAGAAGTAATTATAATGGGAGCGCCCTTGAGGAAGATCAAGGTCTAGACTGTGTTGTCATCATCAGCATCACCACCATCACCATAAGGGAACAGCAGGGAAAAGGTGGCATCTTGCCTCAGCTGGGGTGCCATACACACTGTACTTCCGTCAGCCGCATCACCCTCTTCCTGGGCATCCTTCCACACCCAGATGCCTGAACACCCACAGCCCACTGTTTCTTGACAGCACCTCCCTGTCCACCTCATGCCCGTTTTCCCTCCTCCTCTCGCTCCACAAGGTAGAGTGAGAAGTGCTGGGTCCTCACCTTCCCACCCAGCTCCACCCTCACTAATTAAGCACCCTGGACATGTGTCGGGAGGAAGCAGTGAAGTCTGGGAGTAGTCTAACTAAACTCCCTGTTCTCTCCTTCCAGCTCCAAATGGGTCCCCTCAGCCGAGTGCTGATATTTGCAAGCCCCCCTCCATGTAACCCCCCCTTGGTATCCCAGGCAACTTACATAGAGAATAAAGAGGGCATTGGCACTGCCATTAAGCTGCACCAGTTGGTTCCTGATCTGGTTCATGAGGTTGCTGTGACATGGGTGGCGGGTGGCACAGGTGGCATTGACAGGAGTGATGGGGAGGGGGCTCCCCGCCCCGTGTTTCCAGTGCAGAACCAGCAGCAGGGGCACGACTCCTAGGGACAGGCAGAAGGATCCATGAGCAGAAAGGTGGGGAAGGGCAGCCTAGGGTCACAGCACACTGGACGAGGCTCAGCAAGGGGCTCACGAGAGGGGACCCCATACTCCCTTGCCATCTCTAGCTGTCTTCCCAGGGCCTAGATGTCACTCTGCTGCTACATCTGTTTCTGGCTCCTATCTCTCCTCTGGAGTGAGGACAAGGGGACAGGACATGAGCCATTGCCACCAATAGAAAACTGGGTCCAGGGGAGCCCCAGCCATCTAGCCCTTTCCCTCAGGAAGGCAAAAGCCCCAAGGGCTCCAGGAAAAAGGAAACTCCCCCTTCCCACTTCCCAGGATGGACTAACTAAATCAGCATGGCTTCCTGCTCACTAATCCGTGGCAGCCCAAATCTCCCAAATCAGGTGCCCGTAGGGACAGGGGGGCCGGGGATCCTTCTGTCAACACTCTTCTCCCTCCCAAACTTGCCATTTGATTCTGGCTCCGTGGGCCAACTGCCCCCTAATTCTGCTACCCTCCTCTCATCTTCTCCATCTCTGTCCTTCCTAGTGTGGCCACTCTCCTACCTGGGACCTGAAACTTTACCCCGATTCTGCGGGGCTGTCCCCATTCTCCACCCCCAAATCATCAATGAAAACGTTCTGTCTCCTCAGCTCTGAAGCCCCTGAATCCACATACTCTCTCTTCTGTCTCTAGTTCCTTGCCCTAGGCCCTGGGTTGAGACAAATAGAATCTAAGGATCCCACATGCCACTCCCCCCACCAACATCCTCCCCACCTCTCTCTCTCTCTCTCACACACACACACACACACACT